GGCCGAGCAGCGACAGCGCTGGGAGGAGTGGCTACAGGGTAAATTTTTGGGTGGCCATAGCCCTCCCTGTAGACCCTCTTCCAGTGCTGTCACCTGTTCAACTCCCACCCACCCTGAGCACAGCCCCAGACCAGTCCCTCTGCCAGGAAGAGGCCGGCACAGCCCTTGATCCTGAGCCTGAAGCGGGCAGCTCACTCTTGCCCTGCACACAAATCTAGAGGGCACATGCCCCCCATGCCACCCCTGGGATGTGCACAGTGTCCCCCCCTATTCCCCACACCCCCTGGACAAGCTGCATGTGGCTCTCTTTCACCCCACCTTGCCCTGGCTGGGCAGCGCCTGCCCTTGCCCTTAACCCATTCCCTCCCTTACTGTGGGGGCCTCAATCTGCCCTGCCCTCCTCTCCCCCCCAACTATATCAGACGGACACTCTTCTTCCAGCTGTCTGGCTGCGTTCCTGGCCACGTGCATACTGTGTCTGTGCACACGCGCGCAACATATATTGGTGACATGGGTTACATCAGCCAAAAGCCGATTGCCTATAGCATCAATTTTCCTTTTATCGGTGCTGATCCTGTATGGACCGATTATATTGGTGCACCTCTACTTTTTAATTTAAAATAACTAAACCCTGGATAAAAATAACCTGAATGGGCATATTTGGTGATGCAGACTAATGAACATTTTTAGTTAAACTTTCAAATTAACTTTTAATAGTGAGTACTTCTGTGATTTATACTAGTCTGCCTGATATATTGCAGGGTTTGGTAAACAGTGATTTTTATTTTATTTTTTAAAAATCAAGACTTGTTAAGAATATTTTAATTAAAATATTCTTAACATTAGCAAAGGTTACAGAAGTAAAATGTTGAGTACTAAGATGAAATGAAATTATTAGTGAAGTTAAAATGCCAAAATTAAAAGGAGATAAGGTTGCATTAACATAATTAACTTATTCTTTGTGTCCTATTACTATTTCTATGAGATAATGTTATGGGAAAAGACAAATAATTATCAAAATATCTTCCTAGGTGCTCCAGCTCCGGTGGTGCATGAAACAGCAAGACCAGGTAAGAACACTGCATATAAATTGTTGATTTAATGAGTTTTATTTTAAAAAGAGATTATCTTTGTGTCCTAACCAATCTGTTTTTCAGAGAGTGGCTAATTTCTTTATTCTAGGAATTTAGGAAAGGTGTAATTAGCAGGTTTTTTTAAGATGCTTTCAAATTTGGGATATTCTTGTAAACGTTATGGATTTTTTTTTTTTCTAGCAGGTGTTTTTTTGTTTGTTTGGGGGTTTTTTGTTTTTTGTTTTTTGTTTTTTGTTTTTGTTTTTTTTGTTGTTGTTTGTTTGTTTTTTGTTGTTGTTTTTTTTAATCCTCCTGTACAGATGCAAGTACTGGAGAGCTTTCTGTTATGTGAGCCTAGAGTTTTTGATTCTTTTGGCACTGAAAAGTGTTGATCATAATGGAGTGTAAGCCAAAAACCAAACCTCTGTCTTTGAGTATTCTAAACGCTATTATGCTCTAGCATACTTGAAAAATAGAATGCATTAAACCACCATTACCGTAATACTGTTACTCTAACTTTATTACTAAGATTTTGGAGGAGAGTTCCTTTTTTCAATCAGATATCTTAAGTTAATTGTAAATTGTTGCAGTCTGAACTCCAGGTGACAAATGTTACAGAAGTTGACTGGATTTTGTGTGAAGTGATCAAAGTAGGGGCAGCAGATTCTGGGACAGAGCCCTAGACCAGGGGTTCTCAATCCCCGGGGTGTGGCCCGGTGCCAGTCCACAGCACAGTCAGCTGCTGGACCGGAAATGACTGTGGACCAGCAAACTGCAGCCCCCTAGAGCCGGGAAGAGAGGCTGCAGGGCCCATGGCAGTGCAGAGTTTGGCCCACCCCCCTGCCTGAGGGGTGGGGGGATCCTTACCTGTCTTCCGACCAGAAATTCTGGCTGCAGTTTGCCAGGCTGCAGGATAAAAACTTTGGGAACCCCTGCCCTAGACGCTTTGTGAACTTCTTGATCTGGAAGTAGAATGCATCACATTCCATTCTAGCATAGAGGTCTTAATGTAATGCTACATGCCAGCTATTTTAACTGTGCTGAGAAAGTAGCATGAAATAGTCTGGATGGTAATTTCTAGGTTAATTCTCCCTGCCTTTCATCAGTGCACACTAACACTGCCTGGTTTTGTGCAAGTATTCTGAGGTGGGAATTCTCATTTGGGGGAAAAGTCCCTCTTTAAAGAACTGTAGTCCCAGAATTTCAGATTGTCATAATTTAGGAAGGTTAGGCGCTTGAATTTTGTGTCAGTGTTGAAAGAATCTAACAAGGGAAACTGCCTCTGTTAATGCACATCCCTTTACCAGCAGGGAAAAAAAAAGAAGTGAAATGTTATGATATGCATTTTAATGTTGTAGCCTTCAAATGCAGTTAAAATAAATATAAAATTATAATATTATAAAAGATTTAGTCTGTGATGTTTTATTTGCTCTTTAGTTGTCTGAAACAACTAACCAGAGTGCTCCAGCAGTGTTCCAGACAGGCTGCGGCAGTGCAGTGAAGGACCGCCATGACGGAGGGAGCCCAAACCTGAAGTGGGGTGGGAGGAACAGGCTCAGGCCTGCAATGGCAGGGGCAGAGGTTGTGGGGAGTGGGCCCAGCCCCAAAGTGGTGGGGGTGCAGTTTGCTAGTGTAATATCAAATGAGGAGAGAATCTTAATCTCAATGCGGTACTGTGTATTTGTTTTGATAAGGATCAATTTAAATTCTGAGTTTAGTGCTAATCCAGCCAGATCTAGCTGCAAGCATTGTCATCCAGCCCACAGGGCTTGCCATGGGAATGGAAATTTGGAGGCAGGAAAGCAATGCTACTGCTCCCAAACTTGTGGACCCATGGGGATCCCCAGGCCTTGCATACTGGATTGGGCATCTGATCCTGGTTTACAGGGCTAGATGAGAGCAGTGCAGGCCACTGGGGCCCAATCCTGACCTGCAGGACTATTCAGGAGTATGGACCACAGTCCTAGCATATGAGGCTTGATCTGGCCTGTGGATTGGCCCTGTACCACTCATCTGGCCCATGGGGCCAAAATCTTGAGTACCACAGGATTACAGAAACATTGCTTTTGGTCAAGTAGTGTTATGCTATATGTTTCTGTGAATTGCGTATGTCCAAGGAGAACATCTTTGAAAAGGGGTGGGGGTGTTGTTATTATCAGGTCTGCTTGAGAATATTTTCTCAGGCCATCAGGCTAGACAGGCCTTCCTATTATGCTGTTTTGGGTCCTTCCTTAAGAGTCCTATAAATCCTGTATAAAGTTTGTATATGGTGGAAAACTGAGCTCTTTGCCTGAGGTGCAGATTATCAAGCTCTGAAATCCTACCTTGGTAGATCCTATATAGAACCTCTGACAATGCTGAAGTATTTTTTTTAAATTTTAGAACTTCATTCAGTTTTGTTCATAAATCAGTAACTTGGAAGTATATTACTTTTACTGAATTCTCAGTTTCCCAGCTACAAATGAGCTGCCCAGAATAAGAATGAACCACTGATACCAAGCATGTTTGCATATTGCTATGAGGAGAAATCTTTTTTGTTTTCTGTTTCCTAATTAAAATCCACTCTGAGCCTATTAAATTTCTTCTAGGAGTTATGTATAATCTTGTACTTCATGGTGAATGTGGTCTGCAACATCTTTTGTATTTTTGTTTCCATTAGTAAAGCGAAAACTTACAAAGGACATAACCTGTCTAAAAGATTTTATGCAGGATCCCAAAAGAGAAGAGCCTCTAGTTGGTATGTGTTTTGTTTTATTCAAATTAGCTTTCCTTTGCTTTTAAACTTTAATTTCCAATAGCGCATTTTATTTTATTGCTTGTTTTCAGTCTGAGCCATCACTCTCTAAAGATGGGACCTGCTATTGTTAGGCAACTTGTTTCTCTGATAATTATCCTTTGGTATATTTAACTCCACCTACTGCATTTATTTCTGCTGTCTTGCAGGAGATGGATGTGCACCAAATTTAGCATGATGATCCATATAGGTATTATCTAATGATGTTTTGGCAGATATCTGATCTACTGAGATGTTACACAGTTCTTCTCTACTTTAATGGCTTTCTTTAGCAGTCATAGCACTACTTTTTATCCTTTGCTATTATCCTTAAAATACATTCTCAATAATACCACAGACTAGATTAGATAATAATCAGCAGGTTTGTCTGTTTCAGATATTACTGCTTCCTAAAAAAATCTAACTTTAACTTAGTAGGTTTCTGCTACTGTTTCTAGTGGCTAGCTGCTAGTTTGTAGTACTAGAGCACAATTCAGTGAACGGGGTTAAAATAAGCTTATCCTGTAAAGTGTGAAATTGGGCAGTTATAGATACCATGACAGTTTACACCAACAGCATGTAGTATTATTATTATTATTAGAAACTGTTGTTGTAAGTGGAACTGGAACTACTGTCTGTTTAAGGTTGCTGAACCCTTCAAGTGATGGTACCTTAGTTTTCAATCACTTATAACTTGGACAAACCTTAATTGTTCATGGTGAAGTTTCCCTGCAAGGTATCTGCTTCAGGCTGGATATTTTCCTGGAAAGTAGTTTCATAAAGTGTTTTAGCCACTTCTGAGAATGCATTGTTTGCTCTTAAGTTTTGCTTCTGTTTTATAGAGAAGACTTTAGTGTATTCATAAAATTCATAGAAATCATAGGGTTTACATAGGGGGTTTCTTTTTTTGTGTTGGGGATGTGTTTTTTGCTGCTGTCTTGGTAAATGTTACCCAAATTTGACCAAGGTCAATTTTGAAAAGTGTAGATAGCACAGACTAATAGATTAGCCTCGAAACTATCTGATTCTGTCAGTACTAGGGATGCTTAGCCTAAAAGTGAAGAGGAAAAGCAATGCTTCCCCCAGCTACTAGGATAGCAGGTCTGGTAGTACATAAACTGTCCATATACAGACATCCAGTGTCTATGGGGAGAGTTACTGCTCTCCCAGTAGAAACCAAATGTACAGACATTCAGGATTTTTTTTTCTCTTCCCTAAGCAAAAATGACTGCTCCAGGTGAAAAATAACCTAAGAAGAACCAGGGTTAAATGGCTCCTCACAGGGTTTCTCCCAGAAGGTCAAACGTTTTCTCAGAAGATACATGTAGAGAAGCCACAGCACAGTCCTCTGGCTTCCTGGCTTGGTTTGCTCCCATGGGTCCAGGGACACTGCCACTTGGGCTGGACTCTACTGCTGCATTTGAGCATGGAGTCCCTTTACAATCCCTACCCTGTGCTGCAGGGAGACACTGGCTGACCCAGACTGCATCACAGGCTATCAGGGCTGCCCTGCGCACTGCTGTCATTTGTTGCCAGGCAGCCTGGGGAGCCTGCAGAGCAGGGTGAGATGTGTGCTTAGGGGTCCCCTAGTTTCACAGCAGCTCTGCATACGAATGCCTTTTCAGGGGTCCCCAAATAAGTTGGGGGTTTTTTTCTATTAGGAAAACAAACTAGGGAGAATTCTACCATGTCGTTTGAGCATGTGTATACAGCCCATATCTCTGTTCTCTGCATCCATCCCCCGTGCCATGTGTTAATTCTCAGGCAACACAGAAGAGGAATTCACCAACTGGAATGAAGGGCAGATGAGGTGCATATTAATTAAGAGAGCAAGTAAACTGGAGCAGGGAGCCTGGGGCAGGTAGAAAAGATTAAAATTGGAAGTGACTGGGGACAGGAAACTGGCAGGATAGAAAGGTTAAAACTGTATGAATGTGGGAAGGCTGGTTAAAATAGGAGACTGGGATTGAGTGGTGAGGTAGAGATGAGACTTGTTGGTTTGGTTAGAGTAGTCTCAAGGGACAGAATTTAAGGTCAGAGTTTTATGCCAGATCTAAGACATCTAGGATCTTTTAATTATAAAAAAAAAAAAAAAGTATTTCTTTATCATGCTGTATTGTATATGTCAAGACCATAGCTCCCATTGGTTTCTGCCACAAGTTTCTTTCCCCATCACTTCTGCAGATTGGAATCTAGGATTTTGAGTTGGGCACCCAGAAAATGAGGGGAGTGTAATCGGTGATTTGTCTAAGAAAAGTTAAGTTTTAAGGGACTTCCTCAGTGTTTCATAGGAACGCTTTGGCAAAAGCAGGTATGATATCCAGTTCTCCAAAGACCCTTTACACTTCTTTAGCCATGTGAGATTCTTTCTCTTCCTGCAGTCCATGGCCCCTTTCATTACATACAGTCTGAAATGAGAGAGACAGGCAGTAGACCTACAGCCAGGAACACTACACAACCTTGATTTGTACTCAGAGCATGGTCTGTCCTGTACACTGAATAAGATGGTGGGCCTGTGGAAAAATGGCATGTGCCTATCATAATACAGAAAGAACTTCTACTTTCTTTTAATATAGGCTTTTATGTAATAGTTCTTACCTTTCCATTCACAATTTCTTTTTTACCTGTCACTTTGGTATAGATGATTAAAATTAGGCTGCACTGATGAGGAGGAACAAAAAATAAAAAATAGCTTACTAGAATTGCTGCAATTCTTTTACTACTATGATGGCTATCTTCCTGGTGCTTTGCTTTTCTTTTTTCTGCATCAGATGCTTCACGAACCTAAATATCTTTAAGTATAGTGATCCTACCAAAGTAAGCAATTTACCAGACAGGTCTGTTTCTTAAAGTTTGCCTCTTACCAAGAGTTTTCTCTAACAGAAAAAAACCCAGCTCTTATCAGGTAACTCCAAGGAAATGTTGAAATGTCTAAAATACAACAATCTCTTTAGTACTGTGTTTTATCATATTGTCATTGAACAGTTTAAGAATATAATTTGTAATTAACTTTGCTTTCACAGGTTTAGAGCATGTGGTTGAAATCAGATTTGCAGGGAGAAGAGAGCCACATTATGAATGTAAATTGTGTGATTTTAATACACAGATGGCACCCATGATAGAACATCTTAGTGGCTATAAACATAGAAGAGCATATGTTGTAAGTAGTGTCATACATTTGACTAAGTATCTTTTTTAAATGTTGTTCTCATCATTTAGTTTTTTTCATAAATGGTTGGTTTATTACAGCAATGTTTTAAAGACTCCAGCTCTGAGTTAATAACAAGTATACAGAGAGTGCTACAGAACACAAATAAAGATACGGTAGCACTTCTACTTTAAATTGGTAGTAACTGGGGTTTTGTTCAAGAGATTGGTAATGAGATAAGGAATGTTTTAAGTCCAGGTAGACTAGTTGTGACAAAGGCATTGTCCTCCAAGAGTGACTGAAGTGACCGCTTGGTCGTCTTCAGAGTTACTAAGAGAGGTGATTGGGGAGCTCCAGTTATACCTGGGTTTGTGGTTTCCTGGATGCTGTCAGTTGCCATTTGGTGTATTATGGTGTGTGCTATGTTAACATAACTGATCTCCTGGTGTTAGAGATCAGCTGGCATTTTTGTGATTCCATTAAATACATTGTGTATTTTAACCCTACTGTGCTGTCATTCTTTAAAAGATCTGGTTGTAGAGAATAAACAAGGTAGGAATACGTCCATATGAGCAATTTGCCATTGATTAAAAGGGTGCAAGACTTTACTAAGCTTCCAGTGACTGTTCACTTACATATTGTTACTTCATGGTAAATGGAAGCAAAACTACTAGTTTGGACCTTCATGAAAGAGGAGCAGGTTACTGCAGTTTAGCTTCTAGTTAATGATGAAAGAGCATGTGCATATGGGTAAATAATATAAAGCTATTTGATGCATGATAGCCTCATTATCTTTTACTCTGTGGTAAATTATTTTTATCTAAGTTCTCTCTGCTCTATAGTGGTTTATAGATTGTATATGTGTTTGATCTTTAAATGATGTAGCATTCAGCTACCTCTTTCAAAATCCACATTTTTCTCTCTTGCCTGATCTACATTTTTGCTCTAAGTTCTAAGTATAAGTCTTCAGGCAGCAGTGGTGCTTTTTACAGCAGTTATGATCAACCCCTGGCTCTCTGGCCAGATCTGGCCTGTGGAACAGTGTTTTCTGGCTGTAGAAAGGTTCTGGCCCCAGGGGTGGACATGATGCCCCCTGGTGACCCAGTGACTCCTGCCTGACTGTGGCTTCTCAGGGTACCCTCCCTGCCACTTTCCTGCCACACCTTGACCAGCCAGTCTCAGTTTTGCCCCATATGTCTGGATCCAGCCTATAGGCATGTGTGGTTTGTGGCAACACAAACCTCTTTGCACTGCTGCAACCCGCATAGACTACATACTAATCTGTGCACAGTGCTGCTGATTTGCAGTGCCAGGGCAAAACTTGCTAGTGGGATTTCCCAGTAGCAGGAGGGGAGGCTGAAAAAGAAAAGTGGCACAAGCCATGCCAGTGGCATTCCCCAGAACAAACACAGCAATGGGGGAGCAGGGAGCCCTGCTGCAGTAGGGTTTCTGTTTACCCAGGGCTGCCTGCTCCCCTGTCTCTCTGCACTGTGGAGCCCCCATGCTGAGGCACCCTGTTCCCCAGCCAGCCACTTCCCAGCTGGCTGAGGCACTGGGTGCCTCAGTGCAGGGGCTCTTTCATCCCCTCTCCCTTGAGCTCCACTCTGTGCGGTATGCAGGGCCCCAGTGCCTGCCTTGCCTTGTGCCCTGGGTTTATATGCCTCTAAGCCCCACCCCTTTTGGTCATGTGGTTCCCCAGCCACACAGATGGCTAGCCTGTGCTCATCTGCTGCTGCGCCACACACGGCTTCCAACCTTCCAGGATTGTCCTGGCGTCTCCAGGAATTGGGTATATATCTCCAGGAGAGTCACCCGGGAGATGAATAAGGCATTGATTAAAATAAATATAAATTTGATTCAACATTTAATACAGTAGTCCAGTGAGCTTTAAAAATGTAATAGTAATGTGCATTTGCCTTCCTGATGTAAAGTTTACTCACTGTAATCCGTAACAGATATATTCAAGTATGTGGGCACATTTGCGTTGTGTGTCACGGTCACTTTGGCATTCTGGAAACCTCCCAGAATAGATTCAAACAGAGTTGGCAACACTACCTACGCAGCAGGTTTGGCCTGCTGCACTCTTTACTTGAAAGTGACGGGCTTCTGGTTCACTTGCCCACAGGGCTCTCCACAAGTCCAAAGATTTGGCAATGATGGAGCTGTAGCAGCATTAATTGCCCTCCCCAGCTGCCAAATTTCTGTCCATATAGGGAGCCCTACAGATAGATAGCATGGCCCTATGTCCTAGATAAGATGCACAGGGCTGAGGCAGCGCGGTGCTTGATCTGGGATCCAAGTGTGTTGATTGGCCCACAGTGCTGAAAGTCTCTGCTTTACAGCGTTGCACAAGGCATTTTCATTTCATACAGTATCCAAACTTAATTATAATAAACACTTGAATAGTTTTCACATTAAATGACCATTAGTTATGTGATATTACAGTAGTTGATGTAGAACTGTAATAGCCAAGATTTTATACATCTTTCTCTCCAGAAAAAGTATAATATAGGATATTTTAAGCAGATGTTTAAATGATGTAGATTTGAACCAATATAAAACTTTTTTTATTGACAGGCTAAAGAATATCCCGATAAAATAAAGAAAAACATGCCAGCTATGAAAGAAGACAAAGTTTCTTTTTTCAGACGAATAGCAAGAGAGATAGAGAAGACTGAAGGCTTAAAAATGTTTAAGGTGAATTGCATAGAGTGAAGGTGTTCCTTTTTTGGTTTTCAGTTCTGGAAAATTAGATATTTGGACCCATTTAATATTACTTTTAGAATACACAAAGTTCAGTTTTACAAAGCACTCTGAGAAAGTATACATCTTGTCATCTTCATTTGAAGCTGGTCAAAATCAAAGGAAAAAACTTTTCTCAAAACTTTGTCATAAACTTCTTGACAAGATTAGTTTCAGTGATTTAAATATATATATTGTTTTAAGGATGAAATTGCTTTAAAGATAAAATGAAAGGATAACACTTTAGAATGCTCAGACTTCTGTTTTAGAAAGACTAAATCCTAATTTGTAATATTGACTATAAATTTTTCATTATTGTAAAAACTATCGGTTTCCAATAGGTCCTGGCAAATACAGTAGTATCACCACTTTCTAATGGGCCACAGCAGAAACAATTTGGGCTGTAGGAAATAACTAATCATAACTGCTATCATTATAATCCAAGCAAAGAAGTCTAACCTAAACAAACTTGTTTTGTTTCCTAGACTGAAGGTTATACAAGACCCAGTACCTCTTGTAAGTTTATTAAATTATATTCATATATTTGACGTTATTGAACTTTAATATGTAAATGTGTTCAACTATTCTTGATTAGCAGATTTTACACTTATTTTAACTAACATTAGCTTGCTCATCACAAAGTTTTGTCTCCAGTGTGCTAATAACTGTGTACATAAATGATCATGTTGTCAGTCTTTTTTTTTCTGTTCCTCAAACATTTTGCAAGCACATGGCATATGTTATCTGGCTATATTTAGTACTTTAAGCCAACTGAAAAGTTAACTTCAGTGTAACAGACAGCATTGTATCAGTATTTCAAAGTTTGATGTAGTTTTTCTCTTGCTGACTGACCTGGGAAGTTGAAGATATACAGCTGAGCCTTATTTTAAGTTCTTTAGAGAACTTTGCTGCCCCTCAGTGGAGCTGGCAATGGGATGCACGCTGTCTTGACACCATATAAGGGTATCTGACTACTGCAAATGCTACATTTATTTATAAAATTGGCTAGTTCAATATAAGTAGGAAGATAAGTATCTGACATATATTATCAAGTACATATTAATGCAACACAAACTAAAAGATAGTTGTATGAAATGGTACTTAGTACATTTATTTCTAAGAGTGGGATCAGTGGGAGGGTGGATTTAGCTGTTAGTGATTAACTGGGATCCTGGTTTTCTCTGTTTAAAAATAGCAAATTCTCTGATAAAAAATTAACCACATTCTCTGATTGATTTTTTTTTTTTAAACCCAAAATCCACATTTAAAATGAAATGCCGCTATATATAGGTATCAATTAAACACAATATTTTATTGATATATTTACAGTTTTAAAGCAATTTGGAAGCCTATAAACTTCGTTATTAGATTTTGGGTTTTTTATCATGGAAAATCAGAGCTCCCCTTGCCCCCTTTGCTCACCAGGATGCAAGTCCAGGCCCCTCACTCCCAAGCCACAGCCCCCCGGCAATGCTGGTGGCTCTCAGTTCCCACTCTCAGCTCCCCCAGCCCTGCTGGTGCCCCTCACTCCCCACCAACAGCCCTCTCTGCCCCCCCCAACCCTCCCAGAGGGGACCCCCAGCTGTCAGGGTTACAGGGCCAGGGACCTGGGTCTGCAGCCCACTGCAGCAGCACCCAAGCCCTGGTTGCCACCCACAGGAGCTGGCATTTGCTGCAGTGGAGCAGAGTGCACAGCTAGGCTCCTCCTTCCCTACGGGCACTACAGCCAGAGCGGGGCAGGTGTGGGCTGCCTACTGTGGGTGTGGGCTCTCTGCCCTGCAGCCCTCCCCTGGTGCCTCCGTGGTGAAGCAGGCAGGACCCAGTGTGGTGGGGAAGCTCCTTGCTGCTGCAAGCCCCATGCTGCCCTGGTGAGGCACCCCCTGTCTTCCCAGGAGCCTGGGGAGGCACAGCCAGCCCCACTGCTGCCAGGCAGGCAGAGGGCACATTGCTAAGACAGCACGGGACTTGCAGCAACAAGGAGCTTCCCCAGTCAGCCCCACTCTGCCCTGTTGGCTGGGTCCCACCCACTGGGCCTCAAGGGGCAAGCAGCATGGCAGGGAGCCCAAGGCCACAGTGGGCAGCCTGCCTCTGCCCTGCACACAGATCTGGGGGGCATGTGACCCCCCCCAGGAGTGCACGCAGCAGTGGGAAGCCAGTGTGGCTCCCAAGACGAGCTGCCCATGGCTCCATCCCACTCCCTGCTGGGGCCCTGTGGCCGTGCATTCTGGACCCAGGCCCCAAACTCCACGTACTGTCTGGGCTGGGCAGGAGCCCCAGCTCTGCCTAACTCCCTCCCTCCGTCCATGTTGGGACCTGAATCTCCCTCCCCCCCCCCCCCCCCACCCCACCCACCCACC